CGAGCAGTCTCTGAGGCCTTGAAGAGCCGCGTGGGACCACAATCACAAACGTGTGGTTTGCCAGACTAGTGAGGGAGCTGCGGGCTCCTTTACTGATCCGACTGCTACGCCATCGGCCCCTCTGCTGCTACAGCCATCGCAGGCCTTTGGTGTTCCGCCCCCTGGTGACCGGGACATGACTTTTGACCCAGGCCTCATTGGCCTCGAAAAGGAGATGGATATGCTTTTCTTCAATCCGGGAAGAACGAGGTACATAAGGCCTGAAGGCCGAGTTGCTTGACAACTTAAAGCAAGACATATGGCTCAAAAGGAATGGAAAATAGAGACCTGTTTGTAATCAAGAAAAGGAATGGAAAAATGGAAACTGTTAAGTCATGGAACTTGGGGGATTGTTTGTTGCCTTTTCTGATTGTCTGTATGTGTGGGCATTCTTGGGTTTGGTATGTGGGGGCGGTGTTCTGTATGTTTAGAGTGTTTGATGTTCGTGTGTGCGTGTTGGTGGAGCGTAGACTCCCCACACACCCAGCGCTGTTTACTTGCTTTTTATGGTTTTTATGCCTTTTATAGCTTGTATACCGTTTAAAAGTATAAATATTACTAAATTCAAATTGAGTCGAGACTTCATTTATAACAGTCTGTAACGAAACTAATTCTGCAGTTCAATGGTGTAATTAGTGGCAACAAAAGTTTAAGAAATTTGATGGAAGTCCTGTGCAAAGTAGCTTTTTTTTATCCATATTTCTGTGACTGTGGTTGTGTTGTTTTGTTGTAGCTGACATGTAAAGTGTAAGCTTTGTGCCTGTCCTCAGCTGTTATTGGTAATGCTTCTCAAGTAGTTGTTTGTGGGTGCCACAGGCTTATTTCTGACTACTACATGATCGAGGTGGATTTTTTTGAAAAATGGTCTGTACTGTGAATATATGTAAGACCCTAGGGAATAGAGTTAAGTGAACCATGCAGACTGTTTAAGCCATCTCAAGCTGCGGTATCTGAGTGGCTGATTTTTGCCCTGAATTTAGATTTGGGTGACAAAGGAGGGTGTAAGGTCTGTGAGGAATATTTCCATGGGCCCTTTGGTTTCCTGTCCTTAGTACAGTGCACTTGCGCCTCTCTGTTGTCACCTCTGCAAGCCTCTTCCCTGCCAGCCCTACTCCGCATCAGCTACTACATTCTCTTGTAGAAGATGGTGAGTAAAGTGAGCAGGATGGGAAGGTGACTCTTCTGGAGGAAATGCTACAGGCAGGTCAGCCCTCTTCAGGAAAGCACTCCTTTGATACGCTATCAAAGGTGTTACAGTTTGGGACTCCTTGAAATAAGATGGCTGAGAGTAATTTCTGGACTCTCAGGATATCTCCAAGGCTTTGCAGCATGAGCACCTATAAAACAGGCATCAGGAGTGATTCCTTTCTTAAAAGGTGGCCTTTCATCTTTAGAAAGCTATGTAGGCCACCCTTCCCCCATAGTTGGGTAGAAGCAGAAGGCACAGAGGAGACATGGGTGTAGGAATCATTAAAGTGACATGTGAGTCATGTTCATTAAAGGCAAGCTGGGAGAGTGTCTGATATTAGTGATAATGATTAGAGCTTCCTGTAATAATAATGATGGCGATTCAACTATATGAATTGAACATTCATTCTAAGTTAATTCACATCCTTTTAAATAAGTTACTTATGGGAACAAAAAAAAAAAAGCCCTTTTTAGCTAATAATTTGAATAGACTGGTCAGAAGAACACTGAAATAGTGATCCTCCCTCTGCGCTGGTGGGTTTGAACACTAATCTGTATATCTGTATCTAAATTTTATACTGAAAGCATACTTAGCTATTTTTGTAATTAATTGCATCCCTGCTAAATGCTATCCCTTCTTCTCATTGGAACTTGTCTGTGTTCACTAGCAATATGTTCACAATCAAGGTGATGATAAAGGGCCTTGTTTTGGTGTGAGATTACTTAAAGAGAACTTCACTTTGATTTTTGGCATTCTGAGGCACAGCAGGGAGACGGGCGATTTATTGTTTGCCATATAAACATCTTCATTTCGAGCAAGAAATCGTGGTCTACAACTACTCCTTCTATGGGAGAAAAAAAAAAAGAAGAAAAAAAGGAAGGAATTGTTTATTGTATATACGAAATAAAGACTTTGAAAAGTGAGATGAAAAGGAGGGCAAATGTTTAGGTTAAATAGTGAAGGAAAGCTTTGGAGGTGGCAGCCATGGATTTGTAGTAGTCACTCAGCAGGGATGAAAACCTGTTGTTAAAGCTGTGTAAAGGTAGCCTGGGGACGGGGTGGTGGGTGGTGGGAAGCAGATTGACTGCTCCAGTGGACTTGATGATGGACACAGGAAGTTAATCATTCTGAAGCATGGTCATTCTGGAGACCTGGGTCCATTAGTGTATTGGAGACCTTAGAAGTTGATCTGCTGAAGTCAACATGTGCATGTTTGCAAATTCACCTCAAGTTAATAAGGTGGGTGTTCTCATCATTTTGCTCAGTATCTTTGCCCAGCACTCAGCATAGGTAAGTCAAAGAAAATTGTTGCTGTAGTTAGGTATGAACACTGTACAGAATGCTACGGTGTTTCAGCTGTGAAAACTTCTCAGAGGTAAGACTGAATTCGTACTATGATTTGCCATTTGATTAAAATATTACTTGTATTAAAATATTTATTGCATTGCCATACATTACAAGATTACTTGTCAAAACCTCGGTCCTGAACACTACCAAAAATTGAAGGAATTCCAAATTATGATGTGAATTGAGATGTTCAAAGTGAACTTCATATTAATATCACTAGGTGTGAACCTGGATGATATGTTCTGTTGCCTTTGTGCATTCAACTTGCTTCATCTGGGTTCTAGCATATAATAGCATTTGCAGATCAACTTGTGCAAAACTGCAAACGTAGGAAATGTGAAGAGTTTTCCATAATTTATTCCTCAAGTTGTTGTCTTATTCTTGACGTTCAGTCTGACCTGCAAAGCTCTCAGAGTCAATACTTGTCTTCTGTTGGAATCATTGCAGGTACCTATTGCATTGTGTGTTATCCATGTGAGAGGGAACGTATGGTTATTTGAGATGTAACTCCAGCTAGCTGTGAGAATGTTTCCTTTCAGATACTGGCAGATGTTTCAGAAGAGCTGAGGAGGGCTCACTGCTGAGCAGCCAGCCTGAGAGCCCCATGGGCTCAGGGAGCTGTCCAGCATTCTTTTCTAGGTGAAATTTGCAACTTGGACAATTTTTTTTTCTTCCTGTAATTTGAGAGCTTTCCTTGTTTTAAGTGGAAGAGATATGACTCTGCACAGCTGCAACAAATCCATGTTGCATTAAAAGACTTTCTGGAACAGCAGTACTGGAACACACCCCAGATCAGGCTAGGATAATCTTTTAATAAAAGACTTAAACCGTTTTATGATTCTGTGGTTATCTTTGTCAGTTAAAATATGCTGAGAAACTAGTTTCTTATGTTATGATGCTGCAGAGGAGATTGCCACTTCAGTGTACAACTAATTTGGAATCATCTTTACAGAATGGCCCTTTTCTCATTCATAGCTCTGAGGGAAAAATGTCACTAGAAACTTCCTTATAGGTAGTAAGCAAATTAATTATTTTTTTTTTCTTTGGAGTATTTAGGATTTTGGAATATCTTGCTTATCACCAGCAGATAATTCTGAGGCTGAGGCCTTTGAAAGAGGAATTTTTCCTTTTCCAATCTTTAAATAATTTTTGTTCAGCTGCTTCTGAAATCTGAGTTAACCACAGACTGCCTCTAGTTTTTATTGCATAGCGTCTGACAAAGGGGGCTATTTCTGGTATGACACTAACCTTATTTTTTTCCGAATAATGATCTGTGTGGATTGCATGTGTTTAGATATTGGTCTGAAAGATATGATATATTGGACCAAGGGTTTAGCACAGTTTATAATCTTGACCTAAGATCTGGCAGACTTCATAACTTGTTGGTGACTGAGAGAGCCCAACTTTTGCTCCGTGAAGCGCAGAGATTTGGTCACATGCTGTGCAGTTTGAATTCTTTGGGAGGCTTAACCATTCTGATTTTAAACCATACCGCCTCCCTGAGAAGTGTTTGTGGCCTTTTATGTTCTTTACTAATGATAAGACCCAAAGTTATTTGACCATTACAAAATATTGAAGGATCCTGGGTGTTTTAATCCGAAACAGAAATTAATTAGAATATGTGCTGAGGCCTGATATTCATCTTGCCTCATCCATTCATATTTAGGTCCATAGGGAACCACTTGAAAGAAGCTGATTTCCCCTCCCTCTCCTGTTTTCTTCCCTTTACCGCCTTTCAGAATTCTCTCCTTTCCTTCTACCTCTCTATCTTAACCTAATCTAGATACCTATTAGCTCACTCTTTCAGTAACACTGTTCTGGCTTCCACAAAAGTGCTTTTTAATGTAGGAGATGTACTTCAGCCATAACACCAGGGTCACTTTCTGAGTAATATTTTATGGGATTGATTAAACTTTAACACCGTAACTGTTGACTTTATAGGCCAAGGAAGAGACTCTGAGTGCTAAGCTCTGGATAATTTGTGCTTCACAATTTTTTAAAATCAAGTAGAGATAAGAGTTTAATGTATTTGATAAAGCAGGCCTCTATTTTTTCCCAGTGTCTCCTATTTTAAAAGACCCCCAACATTTAACATGAAATAAAGTCTTTAACACTAATGAAGTAAAGTTAGAGTAAATAACCGTATTTAAAAAAAAAAAAAGGTATTCATACCTACGTGAAGAATATGAGAAAGGATGTTATTTGCTCTTTGGCTGCAGATGTGAGCACCACATATTTTTTGTTACGGGTAGAAAGTGAACAAAGGGGTGCTGTTGGCTGGGAGCTGAGGTTGCAGAAGCATGGCATTTCTTCTCAGTGGGAATTCTCTCTTTGTTGTGACTACCATAGGAAATAAAAAATGGTGATTTGTTAAAATTAACAGAAGATACTCAGCTCTCCAAAAATGGCTTCTTGCATCATGCGCAGGTCTTGCTGCTGAGAGATTGCAGGAGAGGAGTGTGTCTCTCTATGTACCAAGAAGAAAGATGAGCATGAAGGAGCACTTGATGGAAGAGTGTGACTGAGGATCAGAGGACAGTTCCCAGGTTAGTTGCAGTCTCACATGACTCTTAACAGGTCACCAGTGATCTCCTCATCCCCTCACCTGACCAGTGGCTAGCAGAGTACTTCCCTGCCAGGGTTGGCCTCTTCTCCTTTGCCTATGGGAAACTCTTCTGGCTGGAGTTGTTGCGCTGTTCCCAATTGCGCTAGTGCTTTGGCCCAGCAAAGGGCAAGCATAGTTGTACTGCTTTGTGAAGCCAGGTGAGTTAAAATGCTACACAAGATAGACCTGGATTGGGAGGACAGAGATGTTTTGCTGCATGCTGGCTGTAAATGTCATCTCCAAGTTCCCTGGAGACCCTGGGGATGTATTCAGGCTGCTAGAGTGTGCTGCAGCCTGTAAGACTGGCTCTTCACTGAGCTATGTTAGAGGAAATTAGCAGTGGGATGTGGGAAAACACTGTGCAGATAGATACTATGAGCAATGGGGTTTCCAGACCTCGTATTATAAATAATAATTAAAAGCTCTCTGCAAATCTCTTGAAGGGGAAATGTACCATGGTGAAAGCCAGGCATCTTCAAGGTGAGAGAGACCTTCCTGGTCGGACAGGATGGCTTGGTGTGACCACTGAGTGTAGTTATGGCCTAGCATCAGCAGATTTCTTGATGAAGTCACAGTAAGACTGTTATTTTAGAAAATCAATAACATGGTTAATAGTCTTGTCCTAACATTTCTTGGGAAGGGTAATTGTACAGCTTAAAAAAGATCCAAACTTTAAAAGCATTGTGGCATACCGTTTGAGTTGAAACATTTTTAGATGGAAAATCAGAACTTGCTTCTGTCACTAATGTCCAGAAAAAAAAGTTCATCTGCTTGATCCTCTCAGACAGTTTCCCCTCCACAGAGACAGAGGAGTCACTTGGTGTACCTCTGTTGCTCCCCGGAACGCCCAAGAAGCCTGGCTCCCCAGGCTGGCAAATATCCTGAGAGTTGCTGGGAAAATCTGGAGAGCTCAGGCCATGTGCTCTCGTGTCTGCTGTCAGAGGGTGGGTTATCGCCAAGGAAAGCTGCTCTGTGTGTGCCATTTACACCGTGCTCTTCTGCCAGGCAGCATTGCCACTAGTCCCGTCAAGTGTGCATCTCCTACTGCCCTTACTCACAGACAGGTGGTAGCAGGGAGGGGATAGTACTGAGCTAAGGGCAGGACTTAAGAACTGCCTGATACTGTTGCTTTATCAAAAGCACAGTAGTGCTGGTAAGGTGGATATTACAAGAGATGCTGTAGAGGCAGCCTTTGGCTCAGGAGATCCCTGAAACAATCATAGCTGGAAACTGGCATTAACATCCAGGAGAAAAAAAATGTTCTGTATTGGTCTCATGCTGTTTGCTTGGGAGTCTGCTCCTTGAAGCTGTCAGAGATATGTGTGGTACCAAATGGATCTCGAGTCCATTTTTATGTGCTTGTGATAACTCTGCTCTTAATTAATCCCTAAAACAGTTTCATAAAATCACAGAATATCCCGAGTTGGAAGGGACCCTTAAGGATCATCAAGTCCAACTCTTGACACCGCACAGGTCTACCCAAAAGTTTAGACCATGTGACTAAGTGCACAGTCCAATCTCTTCTTAAATTCAGACAGGCTCGGTGCAGTGACCACTTCCCTGGGGAGCCTGTTCCAGCGTGTAACCACCCTCTTGGTGAAGAACCTCTTCCTGATGTCCAGCCTAAATACAAGCATCCAGGCAGCTTCACAGCACGCAAAGTCAAGGTTGCGTTATTTTGACTCGTAGAGTTAGGAATATGAAATTTAGCAGACTGTTTATTCAAGTTTCTGTTTTATCCTCGCCTCTCTGAATTGGGGGGAAAAAAAAAAAAAGGAAGAAAGAAAATTGGAACCGTTTGTGTTTTTTCTTCTTTGTTCTTTTTCTTTGTAAAGCTGGTTAGCCACAGCGTGTGGACTACTTCTGTTCATGAAGAGCTTTGCATTCTTAAGCCAAAAAAACATATTTTTTGAGATTAAGGAATGTGTGCCAAGATCAGGTGAAAGTAAAAATCTCTGTGAAAATGCAAAGTCTGTACTTTCTCTGGATTACTGTGCTTTCTCAGCTGGAGTGACTGAAAGGTTGTTATTTCTGCACGTAGGCTGAATCCAGGAAAGTTCAGATGGCCCGTGGAAATGAGGAGGGATCTGATCCATGTTCCCTAGATGGAATTTCACAACTGAGTGTAAGGTTGCAAATGGTGGAGCCTTTAGATGGCTGAAAATTAACTGTATCAGCTGCCTCTGTTTCTACTCCTCTTTTTGTTGTTATTCTTCATGTGGATTTTTTTTTCTAACTGTATATTTTCCCTTCCAAACTTTTATAGTGCTTTTTCCTCTGCCTTCATTCTCTAGCTCCTTCTCATAGCCATTTCTTTTGCCTTCTTACATTTCATTGCTCTCTCCACTCAACAAAGCAGTCTAGTAAACGTGAAATGTCTTTTCCCTTCCACCCTAATGAGTTTCCCCTCCTACCCTAATGAGTTGATCTGTGTATTCTCTTTATGTCAAATCCATTTCTTAAATAATTTCTCACTAGCTGTTTCATTCTCTCTCTGAATCCATACCGGAATGTTACTTGTGATTCTCCTTCAGTATTTCCCTTGCTCTTGGGTCTTATGTCCTTCAGTGTGCCACGTTGGCTGATACACTGGAGTCTCAAGAGAGCCTGGCAGGCACTCTTACTCTTTTCTGATCTTGCCAACAGTAATATTTCTTCTATGCAAGGCACCTCATAATTTAAGTGAGGTCAGGCAGGACCTGAGAGCTGAACCTGTCCTGTCTAATGAATCAGCGGTGTGATTGAAAGAATTTGTGCAAACCATCAGAATGATTTTGTTTGTTCCTGTGCTGCTGATAGGTCTCTTTGCATCTCATGGTTTTTTTTTTTTTGTTTTGTTTTTTCTGCAGGAGTCAGTAGAAAATGGAGAATGCACTAGATACCAGCTCAGCCTCATTCGTTCTAGACATGGGCCTTGAGTCAGTCCTCTTACCATACAGGAAACAGAAGAAAGAAGCTAATTAACAAACCAGGTAGGTAACATTTTGTCACAAGCCTGTCTGTTCCTCATTGGAGTTGCTTACCACCACTCAGCTCCTGACTGTTGCTTCTCACTTATGAGCATGTAGTTTATTTTTCAGGCCATGATTTATTGACTCCTCAGGTACAGGCGCTGGACTGGGAAGTGTCCGTTGCCATGCATTTCCCATGGTTTTGAGACTCTCAAAAGAGAGAAGGTGGTATTTTTGTTTGAGCAAGCTGTACTTTGAGGATAAGTTAGTGTAATAGTAGTACATCTACCTGCTACAGTTATTTTAATAAAACAGCTGTTGTGGTATCACTTAAGTTTCTGAAGGATTTGAGACTTCATTTTGGGTCCAAGCCTGAATTTCTGTTTTTGGGTAATCATGTTTTAAGGAGGTTGATCATAAGACAAAAACACAAAACAAATAGGATTTGGTGGAAATACTGTGGAAAGAAAAAGCTTAGGGGGCAAAAACACAACTGTAAAACTGATTGGTGAAACCTGTCTGTGGACACGCTGAGTTAAGCCCAGTAGGTGAAGGCAAAAGTTGCTCTGTGTTTGCTCCAGGCTACCTAGAGTGAAGGCTGCTTTTGTGGGGAAGCTCTTCTTTTGGTGCTGTGCTTCACCTACAATCTCAGGGCAGAGCTTTTAGAAACAATCCTGTCCTTAAAGATGAAGATGATAACTATATATTCTCATCCTAAAAGAGGTTGCATGTGCAGACTGCTACCTCTCTTGAAAAAACTGCAGAAATTAATTTAGCTTAATTTGCCTCAAAATTAATCTGAGGTGTGTTGTCTTTACTAACGCCAGTGGCATCTCCAAAGACAGCAATCTTATCCTTCTCACTGTTTGCTCGAGCAAGATACTGTGCAGGCAGCATGGTAGCTGTGATCTAACCATGACACATTAGCAATGCAGAGCACTTTTAATTCACACCATAAGTTTTTGCACACTTCTCTCCCTCGAGCGTGCCGCCAAAGTAGGCATTAATCAGCTTTACTCTAGGAATTAGAATAGAAACTCGCTTGTAAATTACAACCATTACATTTCCGGCTTAAATTTCCCTACTCCTTTAAGCTAATGTTTTAAAAGACTAACCCTACTACTCTGGCAAGAGCCATATCTTGCCTTTATATCCATTTGGCACTCCCTTCCCTTTTTTTTTTTCTTTTTTTCCTAAGCTGAAGAATTACATTATCTCTGTGAAATAACTTTCCTTCTTTAGTTGTTCAATTTGATTCAAGGATTTTTGATTAAGCGTTCAGGGGTTATGAATAAATAAGAACCAGCAGCCTAGTAATTGGTATATCATTACTCCCTAGTAGCACATTTAATCCTCAGCTTCACTGCACCACGTAACCTTTTCCCTCAGTTCTCCTCCTCCTCCTCAATATTGCTTACAAAAAAAGGAAGGAAAAAAAAAAAAGCAATGTCACTGCAAGCTTCACAAGTTAGCATTAAAATGAATACTTTTTAATTTCTCTGGATGAGATGGGGCCTTGTGTTCTGGGACAATGCTGATGGATGACATTTTAATGCAGCTGAAATGTTATTTTTACTGAACCAGGGAAAACTATAAATTCTGCTTCATTGCCACTGATGGCTCTATGCATAAAACTATGGTGGTGCCCATTGCCCATGAATAATCACCTCAGCATGGCAGATGTTACTTCGCAGGGAAAGCAATTCTTATGCCGAAGAATTGTGGAAAGAGTAATTGTCTACAGCTGTTTCATGGCCCACAGCAATCTTGATACATTTATGATAAGTTTAAGAGCTCACTAGAGGCAGCTCCTATTCCCTGTTGTGAGTGAGGGGAAGGGGGGAGTGAATGGCTTTATTTTGACACCTGGATTCATAGAAGCTGTCAGCTCCATTACAGCCTTCATAGAAAGCCGACTGTTGGCAGGTTTGGGATGATTGTGAGTAGGCTAAAATGCAGGAATTATCTAGACATAGATAAAGAAAAGGAGACTGAGAAGAATTATTCAAATTTGTGCAAATGAATTGCTTCCATTTTTCCTCCCTCTGCCAAGTGGAAATTGAACGTAACCCGCTCTGACCTTTCTCTATTAAGTGCTGCAAATTGCAGTAAATGCATAGTTCTGAGTGCCCTAATGAGACAAAGCTCTAGCAATGCCTCATTAATAAGGAAAGTTTGACCTTGCTGGTCAGCCCTTCATTCGATATTGAAAAGAAACAGGAAAAAAAAAGAGATGACCTGCTGTAAATTTTGAACAATACCTTTGATTTAGTTTGTATATACTCCCTGGCAGACACTTCACAACCTTTTTTTTCCCCTTCCATTTTTGCTATACAAATGAAGAAGTATTTACTTACTGGGTTTCTCAGTAAATTCATGAGAACATCAGTTATTTGTGGCAGGGATGCACACAGACAGTCTGATGAAGGTTTTTTTAAATGTGTTTTTAATGTCCTTGTATTGATGAAAGAATATTGATACTCTCCATCCTATACAGTTTTGTTGTCCTTTTTTCCTCAACCTATATCCATTATCACTGTATTGGAGTGCCAGCATGAGTCTGCATGTTACTTGAAAGGAGCACTGCAAGGGAGCCATACTTCATCCTTAAATACATGGTGCCTGGAGCAGGGAGTGCGTCAGAGTCATGGGAGATGTTTGCTCCCCCCCCAAAAAAAAAGAAAGCTCCATGATTCTTGTCACTATACCATCTTGGCCATGCTGAAATTAGAAGGGGATCATGCTTTATTCGGTGGTATACACCAAAAAGCCAGGCTAAATAGCTGTGTTATAAAAATCTCAAACCTGTGACTGCATGTGTATGAAGGGGAAAAACTCATGAACAAGGATGAATATTCAAGTGAGATTTTTGAAGTCAACAAGTAAATTTATGTAAATTGGATGCTCAAATTCTGCTGATCTGTGGTCGCAGTCTCACTCTTAGCAATCTTAGCAACTCACAGCAACTAGTCACGTGTTACAAAAGTATATTGCCCTTTGGAATGACTATTTCACACTGAGTTTCCTTTTGGACACTTGGACAGCCTAGCTTGATTCTTATGTTCTCTATTTTTTTTACTCTTATGTTCTTTGCTTATGTTAATGTATAATAATATTTAAGTATATTAATGAATATATTATATGTGTATAACACGTGTTTATTTTATAATTTTGATTTATATAATATGTTTATTCGTATTTGTTCTTCATTTGGTTCTTATGTTTGTTTATGTTCATTAACTTAAATGTTTTGGGTCACACATTGAAGATACCTAAATAAGCAGTGGCCTTAGGAGTTTTCACTGTTTGCTACTACCTGCTTGGGTTAGCTGGGTGTAAAATGATTACAAACAGTAAATGAATGGGCAAGAAGCTGAAGTCTGCTCAGAAATCCTTAATAAACTGAAACTATATCACTAAATTGTCTGAATAACATAGAAAGAATAAGCTGACCAGCTCTATTATAAATTCATAGTGCCTCCAGGAATTGTATCCCTTTTGGGATGCTCCTGGGCACCTCCTGCAGTGGCATCCTTAGATCAGCTTTTGGAAATTTAGCAAAGCATTGAATACCATCATCAACATCTGGCTCTTGCAGGTTGGTGTTCAAAGTGCTGTTTTCTAGAGCAGATCGGATGTGAACTATACTTGTCATGTTCCTGCTTGGGCTGTAAAAGCTACTGTTGTCTGGTCAGCTTATGAAGCAGCATTAATCTTCTGCAAGAGTGTGCTGGAGCACATTTTCTCTTTTGATGGGCTAATCATTATTATTGCCTAAATATAGAGATATATTTCAGTTTCACATTTCATCGCAGTATGGCTGTCATGGATGATAATATTGTATGTCCCACATCAGAAACAGCGTTCAAAAGCTTTTGTAAATTTTCGGACTCAAAGGGAAAGTGTGGCTTACCCTGGAGTGACGGTGCTGCACAATGGCAGCCAGTCAAATCTGATGGGGAAAAAATGAAGCCTGAAATCCCCCTTTATTGTTAGAAGTCTGCTGATGACAACAAAAGAAAGATTTCAGGAAATAAAATACATGTTATACTGCTTTTATATATATGGTGGTGTGCTCAAGAGCTCCTGCCTCTTCATGTGGGTGTCCTTGATGGCTTTGCCGCAATGCCACTCTGGGATGAATGTTTCTGTTGTGCAGTTGGTGGACAGTAGGGAAACTGAGTCTCAAAGCCTTGGTTCCCAAATCATAGCCTGTGGTTCGTGGGGTCATAATAAGTGGCCTGTGGCTAGTCTGCAGACCTATAAATTGAAGTAACATCTATGTAATCATTGCTTTCTAAGCAGCAGTGCTGGCAGTGGAGAAAATTTGGCAGGTGGTAGTGATTGTTACTCCAAAATATGTGGGAATCTTTGTAGTTATGGGAGATATCAGTTGTCTGGTGAAGTTTTGTGTTTTTTGGGGGGTTTCTGTGAAGGCATCTGGGTGCACAATAAGAAACTGTGTACAAATGAGTACATGTAAGATGGATTTTCATCAGTGGGACACTCTTAGATTTTTATTTGTTCTTTTATATATTTTAACTTTGTCATCAGTCTTAGATTTTACTGTTACAGCTAGAGTAGCAAAGGCTTGTGGCCAATACGAAGAGGAATATGAGAAAAGAACCATAACCAAAAGGTATTAAAAGTATTGATTTAATAGATTTTGTGTGACATAATATGTGACAAAAAGTACAAGTGCTACGTACATAGTGGAATTCATTCCCAGCTTACTCCTTCTGTGCCATTCAAGGACCATTTATTCTTTCCTGAAGTTATACCTGGAAACAGATAGAATTGGCTCAATATATTCATAATGCAAAATCATTCACTAAAATTCTGAAAAATATGTCGTAAAATGCAGATTATTAGTCAGTGTTCTTTGATAGATATCAGCCAGACAGCTTTCTTTGGATGTGCAAGCCCCACATCTCTGGGTGAGTGTAACTCTTTGAATCCAGTTCCCACAGTGAATATTTATACTTAAGACTAAAAATGTTCATTGTATATTGATATTTTCCAACGTGAACTTAAAATGTACTGTTTCTGCAAACATTCCTTCAAAAGGAGTCATTTGTTTGAACATGGTGAAGGTGTCTCAGAAAAGGTTGCCTGTACAGCTGGAATAATTTTGAATAAAATTGTGATGGTTTTATATACAGGTATAATACTCACTTTTCCCTCATAAAGGGTGCTACTTGAACCTGACGAATAAGGTTAATTACTTGTTGCTAACTTCTCCATTCTTCAGGAACAGGTTTTTAAATGTAGCTCAAAGATTGCACATATATAGTAAAATATTAATAATGTTTCCAGTCTAAAGTGCCTTGTAAATAGCAGAGACCTAGTCTTATGTATTACTTGAGTGGAAAAACTACAATAACATTTATTCAGAGAAACAGGAAAAAATATAAAAGTAGTTTAAATGTTCTTTTGTGGGAGCTGTCTCTAAACTAAAATATGACACACGATTTCAACTAGATTTTTTTGCCACTATAATTAACTTTGTCTTTTGACAACTCCTTCTGAGCAATATATTAATTAAATATAGGATAATGAATAGAGACAACTAGATCACCAGAGTATAAATCTTGAGGGGTTCTGATGATACCATAAACCACAAGAATGGAGTATGTGCAGTTAATAATAACATCAAAAGACTGATTGATTTGGAACTTAGTGATCCTTCCACATTCATTATTATTTTATATAAAGCATAAAAACGAGTGGTGTTTTATGCAAAGACAAGAACTCCCCTGGGTTCTTTGATAAAGGAGAAATTGTCATTGTTCACAGTCAAAGAAAAATGTCATGCTTAGTGCATGGAGAGGAATGGCAGGAGATTTTTACGTGTTACAGAGAATCCCTGGGATTAAAGATGGTTTTACTGTATTGATTTATATACCTTCTACAGAGAAATTGGGCCAAAATTTCACAGTGCTCCTGGTACTTTACTGATTTTTTTTTTTTTAATTCTTAGGTCATGCTGGTTTGCCAGATTCCCTCCAATGGAGTCTTGAGACCTCTATCCTGTAAGTGACTTCAGATTTTTATTGTTTCCAGAAAAATCAAAAAGCTCACATAAGTACATTTAAAGTATGTAAAAGTGTACTGGTTTGGGCTGAGATAGTCATTTTTTTTTTTTTTTCATAGCAGCCCTTGGGGTGCTGTGTTCTGGATTTGTGACCAACAACATTGATAAGAGCCCAAGGTTTTTAGCTGGTGCTGAGCAGTGCTCGCACAGACTCTGGATGTTCCCTACTTCTCGGGCTACCCTGCCAGTGAGGAGGCTGGGGATGCACAAGGAGCTGGGAGGGGACACAGGTGGGACAGCGGCCCCCAGCTGGTCCAAGGAGCATTCCCTACCGGTATAGCCGTGTAACTCAGCCCGCAAGTTTTCTCACTTTGCCCCGTACCACTTGGGGGAGAAAGCGAGCAGCTGTGTACAGTTTAGCTGCCTACCCGGGTTAATCCACAACAAAATGCTATTAATCTTTATTTATCAAAGGTAACATTGAGTTCAGACCAGTGTATTTTCCTTGCAGTCAAGCATCTATGGTATTACAATAATTGTTTTTGAAAATGTTAGTATGAATATACTCATGCACACTGTTGTAAAACAGGATATGATGAGCACAGTGACAATCTCGGTTATACTAAAGGAAAAGGATCTGAGCATATAAATAGGCCACTGGTCAAAGTATTGTTACTGTTTCTTAATAAACCTTTCAAACAGGTCAGGCATCCCTGGGTCATGCCACACTTAATTTTACCAAGCAGAACACGAAGATGGCTCTGCAATTGCCTGGCATTCATCCGTCTGGCACCGTGCTGGCATGTGCCTATTTGATCAGATATGGTGTTTATGACAAAGGAGTCAGGTTTGAAGTTGTCAGTTAACCCAACTATCGTCACTGAATGACCTAAATCTTACTAACTTAACTTCAAGCCTGTCCCCTAGTTCCTGACTGGTGTGCCCAGGCTGGAAACACACAGAAAATAGAGGACTATCAAATATGCACCGCTATTTCTCCAGCAATATAAAAGGAGGAACAAAGACTGCCAGTTGACTGATATTTACCTTGCAGTTACACTTGCATACATACATAATTTAAAGTAATACGCTGCTTCAGGAGCTTCTCTTTCCCTGGAATCTCTTCCGAGCCCTAAAAGGAACCTGACTACAAATGGCTTGTGCTCAGAAGGTTTTCGTATTGCTTTAAGGTGGCTTCCAAACATGAAGGCAAAAAAAATCATCAGTTGTTTGTTAAAAATGTGTATCTGTCCATCTAAAACATACATTTGCTGCTAAGGGCACAGCATATAAGTAAATCACATTTTAAGCATCAAATCCCTTTTATTCGCTGAATCCTTGGGCACATTTTAATACTGCAATGCTAGCATTTTAAGTGTATTTTTGTGAGGTCTCTAGAGCACTGTCGTAGATAGGCATCATATAAGTAACATTTATTGTTATTATCATTGTATGTTGTATTCACTCTGTTTTGCTACCATTAATAAACCATTCAGGCAATGTTGTTGCAATGTATAATATTAGCAGCAGCCTCTTTTGGGAGGCATATATCGAGGTACTTAATATTCTAGCTGTTTCCTGGGCCATCTCTCCACAGGCACGGATGCTACAGTGTGTTCAAAGTTCAATATAAAAAAATGAGCTGGCTGTGCAAAGATCACAGCATCTTACAGCACGCCTTGCTGTAACTCACACCACGGCTGCTGCTGTCAAAATTCTGCTACACAAGATAACAGTAAATTAGTGTGACTGCCTGTAACTTTAGGAGTGATGTTTTGCTCTGCACAATTGCCACTATGAAAAAATAAATCACTAATTTTGTACTCATCATCTTCAGCCTTCAAGATAATGTTGTTGCCCTGCAGCCCCCTTGTGGGGCTGCCTGAATTACAGAGGAGCCAACTGCGGAGCTCAGGATTGCTTTTGAGGGCTGTATTAATTTGTGCTGAGGATTTGAGCCTTATGAATATCCTCCTTAATGGCTTACAAAGCAAAATGGCTATGACCTTTTCGGCTAAGAAACAGTATACGGAAACCAGCCAAGCTTAAAATTGCAAATAAACAAAAAACAAACAAACAAAAAAAACCCACTGCTGATATTAGTCATCAATAACAAGCAACAAAGCAAACACGAGCTGGTGGTTTGGAGGGTCTTCGTGCTGTGTACCAGCCATGGAAATGTCACAGGGGCTGCCTGTAGGGCCAGCTCACAGCATAGGATGCAGCTGGTATCCTGCAACCAAAATACCTTCTTGAAGGTATTCAAGCACAACAATGGAGGAATTCATTGCATAACCACCTCCTTCTGAATGCCATCAGGAGAGCCCTGTGGTCTTTCCAGCACAAGGGATGCTTTTTTCCACAGTCCGTCCTTCCTCACTCATTCCACAGAAAGCTTTAGATGCAGCTTGTACACTCATATATTAATTGTTAAATGGCCTTCTGGGACTGATTATTACCCATCTCTTTGAATATAAACTCTTAACATCTTTGTCTAATGATGTGATCATTGTATTAGTCTTTGTCAGATCATGGGAAATCCTCCCAGCAGGGCTTCACCCAGGAAAAATGTTTCCTTTGCTTTTAAAGGGGGAAGCTAAATTCAGTTAGGGTGACTAGCATGAGCAGCACTGCACAGTGGGCAGGACAGGCAGGCAATGCGAAATGTATCTTCAACAAATTTTAGTCCAGTTCCCTGTTCGTTATGTAAACAAAACCATCTGTGTAGGAATCTGAATAATGGGCATGTAGTAGAACGGTCATTGGAGACACAGGATTCAGTGGTGAAATGACACTGCAAATGGGCTCCATGATTTTCTTACATTCATTTCACTGCTATGGTAGGCATCTGTCTCTTGCAAAAATGGGATGTAGGATTTTAGTGATCACTGTGTCCACTACTGCACAGAAATCAGCAACCACCTCATAAATACTGTGTCCGGAAAGGCCCAAAAGAACTTCAGTCTCTGATTCCCCTGTCTGTTTTCTACGTACGAAGCAAGAAGTTATCATGTGAGTGACAGAAGCTTTCTAAATGAAGTGTCCCACTTAAGACTTGGTCCTGAGCAAGGCTGGTGGTGAGTACCACAAACACGTGGATTTCCACAATTCACTGCTGATCACGCACTGCACACAGCCTGTTGTAACTTGCTATCAGGAAGCTTTCCAGTGACACCAGCTGATCAGATCCTGTGGGTAATAAAGAGGAACAGAATATGGCACAGCACGAGGTAAGGTGGTGGATCTGTGTCAGTCACTTAGGTTATTTCTGCATGTACATATTATCTTTCAGCCCACAGTGTGCAGGTATGTTGGGCTGTGACTATCATTTTTTTTTCTTTAGTAGAGCTCACCAATGAGGTCGTATATTTCATTGTTGGAGCAACACTGTCCCCATTCGTGATCACTTCACAGACAGGGTGCAGAAGATAAATACCTGTTAGTCCCAAAGATTCTCTGTGTCTGATCTGCCAACACGTGGATGATGTGCTACAGTTCTGGGTCAGGCATATATATTACCTCTGTTGCAAAGGACAATAGGAAATAATACAATCTTTGAGTAAGACCATTGGTTTAAAATATTAAAACTGATGGAATATCACAAGCAGTCCGGGTGACACCCACTGAAGAAAGCACAGGAAGGAAGATCACCTGTCCCTTTGCAGTGTCTGCATGCTGCTTACTGCATCCTTTCAGACCTTTCCTGACCTGGGCTGTCACTTGTAGAAATCCCAGGGTAGCATGCATGCCTCCCGTTGTTCTTTGTGCTTATTACTTTATTTCAATCCTTTCTTTTTCAATTTTGGGATTGACATGTGGCTCTGGTGGTGATGTGCAGTGTCATAAATAGACATCCTGAGTGCAGGCAGTTCATAGCCTGTGAAACTGGGGAGTGAGCTGCTGTCCTTCCACTCCTCCCCACTCTGCCCGAGGATTTGAAACTCAGGAAAAATGGTTTAAGTCCTAATAATTAAAAATATGTGTGTATTTCTTACATATATGAATATTATATATAATCTGAGTATTTCTTTAAAAACCTTTGAAAAGAATATCTGAATGGGAACATTTCATCAACATTTGGTTGAGAGCTTTATGCAAAATATTTGCACGGTGAATCTGACTTCCTCAAAAAGTGCATTGCCACAGGCTGCGATGGGCCTTTCCTTACAGCCATTTAATGGAAACCACGCTTTTAGGGGACTCTTCGCTATTGTTTTTTGAAAGCTATGTTCTAATAATTCATTTAGCCTGTATTGGCAAATGGACTGCACATTCTCCTAGGAGGGGGAAAAATGGGGTGCAGGAGTGCAGCTACAGGGGGAAAGGGAATAGGGAGGCAAGGGCAGTGCAAGAAGCTCATCCAAGTCCTCTCCTGGCTGCTACCTGTTGGTAGCAAAGAAAAGATGAATCACCAGCTCAGGTCTGTGACAGCTTTCCCAAGATGAGAAAAAAGGGCCCCAGTAAATGCATGCAGCCTTCTCCCATCATCCCTTTAATAACCTGTAATATTGTAGCAGGATATTTTTGTCGCACCGAATCTGATTGATGGTCTTGGCTATAAGACATTACAAGTGTAGAGTAAATTGACCGAACACCTAAACATACAAATTATTAAAAGGAGGGGGAGCAGGCTGGGGCCTCCTGGGGAAAGCAGGCAGGCTTTAGTTAAGATGATCCCATTTCCAAGTGCAATTTATAGTCTATTGACTTGCAGCAGTGTCTTTTCAGATGTGAGGAAATTGTCATACATTGCAAATGAGAAGCTGTTTTGACATCAGGATCGCAGAGAGTGCCAGGAAGAAATGATATCAATGCCTGGTCTGTTAAGGTTAAATGAAGTTGCATTGTTGCCAACAGATAGGCATTCATTTCCTTTTCTTCCCTGCCTCTCCCTGTGTACAATTATTGTGATTAGGATGAGTAACAATGTGCTTCTGACACCCATTGTATTGACAGCTCTCCTAGTTTTTTCCACTCAAGTGGCACTAGTCATTACTTAAACACTTGGACATTTTGACAGGGAAGATCCATGCCTGCCAGTCAAGTGTATCAATGACAAGAAGGCCTTAGCCCTTGGACACATACCTCTGAATTAAAGCAGTCAAAGCCATCGCTGCTGCAATATGATGAGCCTTTTTTGAAACAGGGCTCTGGCAAGCATGTAGATGCGCGGATGCACTTGGGCCCTTCTTGCTGCCTTCTCTACACATTCCCTGCTGTTTGTGCACTCGTTTTTCCCTCTGTTTGTGGTGGTCTTTTGAAGGAAAGCAGGATTGCCAAGCAGATTATTTCAGAGAGAGAAGGAAAAAAAATGGTTGTGGGCTTTTACATTGGAGGATAGTTTTGATTCAGAGTATTCTGTAAAATAGCAAGGGCTAGCATGGGTGACTCAGCCTGAGAGCTGAGCTCTCTCAGAGTCTACTGAGAGCTCTGAGAGCTCTCTCTACCTTTACTAAAAGGGTAAGGTATCTTGAGTTCTTACCCTGTAGTGGTTTTGGTGCTGGTGGCTGTTGTTTTCTTCCTGCCAGTTGTGTTTCAAGTAATAATAATTACTTGACAATTACTTAATTACTGACATGACACCTAGCACCTTCCCTTTTTACGTTCATTCTCTCTAAATGCCTGTTAGGCCTGGAAGAGGCAGGTGTGGTGAAATGGCAGCAGGATGAGTATGTATATTAGTGCCTTGGGCCAGAGCACTCTTAAACAGAAACAAATTCTACAGCCTGAATGTATCAAGTAGGAGAAGAGATAGTGTTTGCTGTCAGTATGATGTAAGTTATGGGATATCTTACAAAGGAATCTTTTCCTTGTGGCAGGTGATGTGCTCTGTTTCTTATGTGGCACTTGTTACACAGACTGGACAGCACAAACTGTCTTCATCTACCCTGTAACCTGAGGTCTTTTTCCAAATAATGTCTTTCATGTGTTTCAAGAGCAAATAAATATACCACACTTTATTGATTCTTCACTGTTAGGAGGCTTTTGTAGTTTCTCTTCAAATTAGAGAAAATTCTGGGAATAGTAATAATAAAAGTTTTGTGCAGAAGGACTGTGCAAATTAAAAAAATAGTTTTGTACTGAAAATACAAGGATGAGGGGAAAAACCCACAAACTTAAAAACAAACAAACAAAAAACACATCAGTCATGTATTTTAACACAGTTTCTTTTCAACATCTTTGAATACTTGAATATGTTCTGGGGGTGCATCCATTTGCTTAATTATTACTGTGATTTCAAAGACCTGTTGTGCTTTGCAGTCCTATTTTATGTGAACTTACACACCTGCACGCACACACACATGCTCACAATTCAACAGATTGTACTCAGAGCTACTATTCTCTAGTACTGCACAACACTGCTAAGCTTTCATAATCTGTCCCCTTTCCTACTCCAGTGCTGGATAATTAAAGAAAATGTTTTGCAGATTCCTGCTGGAATCAGAAAGGAGGCTAAGCTTTA